CAGGGAAGCAGAGGAGCGGCTATGGCTTCTTCCGTAGGTAATTGGAAGGGATCCAGCCCTCCCAGCACGGCCCCCCAGTCAGGACCTTGCAAAACCACCAGCCACTGCTGTTCTTCTCGCGAACTTCAAACAAAGTCCCTTCTTTAAAGCTGTTGGTCTCCTCGTCGCCTTCAAAATCCGCCACTGCCACGTAGAGAGCTTCCCTGGAGATGTCGGGACAGGAGACGGGGGCTGAGGTCCTCTCCTTGGCTTCCCCTCTCTCCACTGGCTTGGATATGACCTTTGGGCTTATGCTGCTTTTCACTTTGGCTTCGTCTTGGACGGAGGCAGAGAGGAACGGCTTGGCTTTCGGAGGAACCAGCATGGGCCTCCCCGGCACTGGGGACGACCTGGCTTCAGGCACTTCCCGTGGTGGGGCCCGGAGCTCTGCTGCGGGGCCGGAGGCAGGACCCCCTGTTTTCTTTGGGGGGGGTGGTCTGCGGGGTGGCACAACGGGGCGCTGCGGCGGGGCGTCCCTGGCACCCGGGGTGTTTGCTGGGCCCAGGGGAGATTTGGGCAGCACCTCTTTCGTGGTGTGGCTGTCCAGCTTGGGCAGGGGTTTGCTCTCCGTGCTTGGTCGCTCCTGAAACCTTCCAGAAGCCTCCGAAGAGACCGCAGCATTACTGAGGGAGCTTTCGCCGGCAGCGGTGTCCTGCTCGGAGGGTTTCTCTGGGCACTTTGCAGGCCTAAGTTTGCTCCGCAGGCTGCAAATGTCCAGTTTATCATCAGCTGGAGGTGGGTCAGTCCGGGGGGCTGCAGCGGGTTTTGGCCTGATCTGAGGTCTTGACTTCAAGAACAGATTCTGGGCGATGGGCTCAGGCTTGTCCTCCGCGGGCTCAGCTTTTGGCTTGGTTGGCTTGACAATGGGCCGGAGGTTTGGCTTCTTCACTTCCTTGGCTGACACCTTGTGTCCACATTCCAGTCCCATTTCGTTTTTCAGCTGGAAGAGTTTGCCTTTCTCCGGTTTCAGCTCGGGCTTCTTGCTGTCCTTCGGGGCCGCCGACTGCTTGGGTGGGATCATGGGCAAAATCATGCCCGGGGGCTTGGGGGGAGGCCTCTGCCTCTCCAGTAACTCGCCTTCCGATTTAAAGATGGACTCCTTCCTGGGCGGCAGGCTGGGCTTCTCCTCTGTGTCACGGTCCGAGATCTCCTCGTAGCCACCGGCGAAGGCTAGGTCTCCGCTCTCGGGAGTCTCCTTCCCCTTCCAGTCTTTGGCCCACTTCCCACCACAGTCCGTACCGTTAGGAGGAGCCTCCGGCAGAGGACGGCACGGTCCCGTCACTTCCTCGCCGGTGCTGCTGTCAGCTGTGGCATCGCCGAGCCGGAGCTGGACCATCTCGTTGGGGAGTGGAGCCAAGAAATTCGGCCTGGACGCATTGCTGGTTTTCTTGTACTTATCGATGAACGTGGCAGGGGCCCAGCCTTCCTTCTCCTCAATCTGAATGTACCACCAGCCGCTCAGGTTCTTCTCAATAACCTGCCGAGGAGAAAGGAAACCTCAGACATCCACGCAGGAGCCCTCTCTGCATGAGGGGGGTGATGCTGGGTGTCTCCGAAATGATGTTGGGGTGGTATATGGCCTCGGTGCCTCCCTGTCCTGGTAACCAAAAGCCATGTAATCACAGGACTGGAATCCGAGCCTCTGCCAGGGCAGGGGACCTGTGTGCCGTGGGACCAGGGAACGACATAGCCACCCCAAGGAGCTGCGGCTGAGCCGTCACCATCCTGCCCGGGAGACAGGACCGGTGCTGGGTGCTGGCGGCGGCCACTGCGCGGCACTGTTGGAGCGATCAACCGGCGGCGACGCCACACGCTCGGCCTTGGCCTGCTCCAGAAGCGGGGCTGGGACCGGGGAGGAGCTGCCTGGGGCAGCCATAAAGGAAAAATCCTCCTAGAGAGGCACAGCTTACATTCTGAAAAGCAAAATCACATCTGCAAGAGGGATTCTGTCAGCAAAAGCGGGTGTGCTAGGAAAGCAGTTCTGGAAAGGCTTTTAACTTCACACCTGGCCTAAATAAGAAAAAAACCACCATCTCTACTCCGTTTGTGGTGTGGATTTTAATTTCCACTAGCTCAGACAACGCAGCACCCACACACCTGGGGGACAGGAGGCCACCAAGAGCCCCAGGGACCCCAAAGTCTCATGAGCTCATACAGGTTTCTCTCCCATTCTAGGAGAGCCCTGGCATGTTAACAGTCCCCAGAGGCGATCACATGCACCACCATGCCTGGTTTCCACCCATAACACAGTGGTCAGCTGAGCTTCCCCGCCTGGAAAGGGAGCTCCTGCCTGAAGCAGGTCCCAGGGCAGTGGGAGTCAGGAGCGCTGCACTGGCATGAAGGTGTGAGAAGGGAAGATGACAGTCTCACCTCTACTTTCATTCCTGCCTGGAAGCTGATGCCGTCAGGGATGGTGGTCTGGAAGTCAGCGATGGTGTAATATTCCTCTTCCACTTGAGGAGGGACAGGAGGTTTAGGCAGGTTCAAACCACGTGGCTACGACAAGAAAAAAGAAAACCCATCAGCGTGTTTCTACAGAAGGTGCGACACAACGTCCACACAGACCACCAGCCTGCAGAGACGCAAGCCGGCACGGCCAGGCCAGGGAGATCAGCTGTGCCCATGCAGCACCCTCACCAACACAAACCAGCAAACCATTTCCAGGCTGAGCAGAAAATTGCTCGGCGGCAGAGCTCTTGCTGACAGCAGAGCCACCCTCCCCGGAGGGAGGGAGACAGTCCGCAGCCTCCCACTGGCAACCCAGCCTCGCGGGACAGGCTGGCCAAGACTTGAAAGACCACATGCAAAGAGGAGTCTTAAGACAGCAGGGAGGTGACAGGCGTACTCCAGCCTTGCCTAAGAGCAGAGCCCGTGGTAGGGGCAAGGTGCCAGGCAAAGAATAACCAGTGACCAGAGCTCCTTCCAGTGCTCCGCTCCGACTCCCTTTGCCATTGCTGCTCTCCTGCATCAGCTGGCACTTACTATGGTGAGATCTCGGCGAGGAGGGGGTCTCTGCCTCATCTTTGGTGACTCTGTGGAGGAAGAATTTCAGATGCTGTTGAGTTTCTGGCTTTTGGTCACATGTGTGCTCACAAAAGACAAGTGAAAGAGAAAACAGAAAGGGAAGGACCAAGCCTGCCCCATGAGCAAGGAAGCCGAAGGAGGAACCTGTCTGCCCAGTACCCTCAGTGGCATGGGTCACCCAGGTTTTGAGGGCATCCCACTGGACGAGGAACCAGCTTTGCACCATCAGGTGCTGCTGGGAAATGCAGCTGAGGTCACCACACGAAACTGCTTTTTCATTGCAGGCCTGACCCAGCAGACCTGGCCTGCAGAGGGGTTAAAACGCCCCAGCTTCTGAGAGGAGAGCATCTCCAGGCTGGCAGGGGAAGGCTTTTATCACACTTGCTGGTCCTCAGCAGGTCCCTGGGCAGCACTGTGCTCGTGCCCCATCTGCCTGTGCAATGTCACCTCCAGACCTTGCTGCGGAGCTCACAGCACCTGCAAGCCTTCTGCCTCCCTCACATCCCGTTACGTTGCCCAAAAGCCTGCAGGAAAGGCTGTGCGGACACCCCAGCCACCACCGGCCTCCTCCCGACCGGCCACTTACTGCGTCGGATGTCAGCATTGGGCAGCGGACGGCTGTCGAATCTCCCATCCCTTTGGCCAGGGAGCCCATCCTTCTCTCGGCTTGCCATAACCTGCTGCCGGGAGATGCCATCCAGATCCAAGGCACATGAATGAGCGGAGGAGCCTGACCCCAGCTTCTGCGAGAACATCTCTCCATTCCCCTTTTTGAGGTAGGAGGCGGGGGCCCAGCCTTCTTGGCCCTGGTACCTGCAGCAGCAGCAACAACAGCAGCGTCACTGCACAGAGCCCCGATGCTGCACCGGGACCGTGAGCCCTTCCCGGAGGAGCAACCCACTGTGCTCAAGTGGTGCTGAGCCATCGGACATCCCCGGAGCCAGAGCTCAGGACATGCGCTGACCAAAGGTACCGCATGACCTGGGGAAAACGAGCTTGCCCAGTGTCATGCTCCCTGGCACATGGGCACCTGGAGAGCTCCAGCCATGACTAATGCTCCCGTGCAAGCTGGCCACAGCCAGCGGGCCAAGGGCTGGGAACGGCACGAAGCCCAATTTCCTTTTCACCTCAGCAATGGCACCGGTTCAGGAATGAAGCACACTGGCAGGGGAAGCAGAGGGGAAAACCAGAGCACTGCTGCTAGGACTGATGTACCTGGTCTTTGGAGAAAGCACAAGCCCTGTGCCCGAGTGCCGGCAGCCTGGATCCCTTCCCTGCTCTAAATCTGCACTGTTTAGGAGAGAAACCAGCCCCGCGATCTGATGGAGAAACCACATCCGCGGAGTGTCTCTGCCATGCCGGAGGGTCCCGTGCCAGCGTCAGAGACTCTCCCCGCTGGCTGGGCTGCAGCCACTATGCTCAGATGGCACCAGCTACTGAGCTTGTAATTGCCTTTAGAGCTCTTGTGGCAGCTCTCTGCTTAAAAAGTCAATGGACGTTTTTCTGGGGCTTTGCTGCTGCCAAGACCAGAGGTTCAATGTAAGGTTAAGAAAATTGCAGCATGTGCTCCCACCCCGCTCAAGTCCAGCCGTTTGCTAGACCACAGACAAGAGAAAATGAGCTTCCAGGAGAAAACAAGTATCAGCTTGGGATGATCCGGAGTCTTTGGCCCCAGCACACGCTGCACACAGCAGACCTGGCCCGGACAACGGCCCTTCTCCGCAGGAGCCTCCTAACACAGGCAGAGGATCCAGCCTGCCTCCAGGACACTCACCGGTTTTCCCATCAGCAGCAGATGACGTAACGCCAATGCTCTCACAGCGGTTCCCTTTGCGCTGTGGGGCATGTGATGCCGTGACGCAGCCCACCTCCCAGCACAGGAAATCGGGGGATTTTGAAGACATTTAACCACAGCTATGCTTGGCTGAAGCCCTGAATGTCAGCTAGCCTTAGTTTGTAGGGATGGTGAGAAATGAGTGCTGGTACACTGCCCTTCCCGATACCCTACACTTGCCTCTGGACCATACATCCCACGTGCATCAGGGCTCTGCTTTGCACAGCCCCGGCTGCAGTGCCAGGGAAGAGGAAGAGGTAGGGACGGTACCTGATTTTCCACCAGCCCTCCAGGTTCTTCTGGATCACCTCCACCACAGCCCCTTTGTCCAGGTTCATTTCATCCTGGTCTCTTGCGGTGTAGGGGTAAATAACAGTGTACTTCTCCTCTGTTGGAAAGAAAGTGCATTTCACAGAGATATTGTGTTACGGAAACCTGGACTCAGTCGAACAATGGTGAAGTGCTTTATATAATGATAATTCCTGTTGTAATACAGGTGCAAGCACACAGGGATAGACAACCATTCATAAAAGAAATGCCAGTGAAATGTATTTCAAAACAAATCCAGCTGCATTTTGGAATGTAAGCTTTAGTGAGCTAGTCTGGTCCAAGGAGAAGGTGCCTAAAACAGTTCCTCCGCTCCCTTAGGACTAAAGATTATCTTTTATATGACAGCTCTCCTTTCACCTGCTCTTCACAGAAGCCCTTCCATGCATCCATTTCAGTTAAAATGTCTTTCTCAGAGCCTTTAAAGAAGAACTGTCCTCTACAGAGGGAAAGAAATCCCCTAGGCATCAGGGAGTAACCCCACACATACAGCTGTGTTCTCATGCACAGCTCTCAAACTGAACTCCCTGTTCAACGGTTGGGTCCCCAAGACATCGGTCAAAGCCACGTGGTGAGCCTGGAGAAGAGTCTGATGTCCTGTGCACTAGACCAAACAACGGTAAGCAGGGACATGGATGCTCTTGCCTTCAAGAGGAAGGGGAAACATCCTAACAGCCATGCAGACAACATGTCAGACAAACAGGTCCATCCATCCACCCACCCCTCTCCCTCACCTTGTCCTGTCCTCACTGGAGGAAACCCAGGAAAGCAATTGCCCGTGCTTAAGCAGTGCCACAGTAGGGTGAAGGCCATTTTGGGAAAAGTCTGCCTCCAAACCCTACACACTCATATATCCCCACCGTGCATGTTTCCTGGCTTTGTCTTCTTGGAAGAGCACAGCCCTTGAAGGGCCCGATTTTCCCACCCGCTTCACGCAAATGAGTCAAAGCAGAAAATGTCCTGTCACATCCAGCAAAACCAAGCTGGCTCTTCTCCTCCTGACCCCCTCTGAGCCCCCAGCCCCAGGGCTATGCCTCAGAGGAGTTACTCTTACAGGAACTAAGGCAGCAGTTGCAAGAAGTCTGCATACATGCGCTGGGGGAAAGCAGAAACTCCAGCCCCTGTACATAAAACAAGCCTCAAAAAGTGAGAAGGAACAGCTGATAGAGGAAAGAGAGATGGACATGAGTGGGCCAAATGGAGGCTGAGGAGCATGTATGGCATGCATTGAGGACTGACACAAGCAGGGTCCACCACATGCAAAGTGAACAAACATGCAGACAACAAGGCTCCAAGCACAAGACATGGGCAGCTGAACAAGTCTCTATGAATTCCACCTTGACCCCATCCACTGGTGTACAAGTCCCCAAGAGTCCGACGGCGGCCAACGTGCCTGGGCAGAGACCAGTATCTCCATGGGACTGGGAAGCGCATGTTGGGGAAGCAGGAGAAGGACAAGAGAGGATGTAAGGAGGTGGCACTTCAGGTCCAAGAGGAGACAGGGCTGACACCAGAGAGTGGCACAGAGACTGTACTCGCCTGGAGCCCTCCGGGGGCCCTCCCAGCTCCGAGCCTCCCCTCCCACCCCCAGCTCCCCAAGCAAGGGGCTGAGCCAGCTGCAGCACTGCTTTGAGCACGCAGTGGTCAATGGGAAGGATGCTTTCTCCAGGGGCATTTCAGATTTGCTCTAAGCAAAGATGGTTCAGATATGCTCTAAGCATAACGTGAGCTCAGGCATGCTTTGTTCTGCATGAGTTTAGAAGATAGGGGAATTGTCCTCAGACCTGAGCTTTGGTCCTCCTCCAGTGCAGGTAAAACAGCTCCCTGGGGCCTAAAGGAGGCACTGGGATGGCAGAACTGGGTGTTCCCTGGAGGTGGCACCCTCAGCCCCTCTGTGAGGGAGCAGAAAGGCCAGCAGTTACACCGCCAGCACCCAGCTGCCCCACTCCTGCTACAGCACCGGAGCAGAGCGCTGGGCAGGCAGGACCATTACGGGCAGACAGGACTGAACAGACGTGTGGGTTTGCCCTTCCCTCGGCTCCTGCCCTGCCTAAGTCAGGCCGGGCTAAGCAGTCCTGCGAGCAGCTCGGTGCAGTTCAGCACAAAGAAGCTGGGGCAGATGCCTCCAGCAGCTTCTTACCTTCATCGGGCTGCATTGAGAACTCATCCTGGACACCATCCTGGGCCTCCAGGCAGGTCGCCGGCACCCAGCCTTGCTCCTCTGACGTGCTCACAAACCACCAACCTGAGAAGAAAACAGCAGGCGGCTCAGCCGAGGGCTCCCACCAGCCAAAACCTCCCTCCCTCCCACCAAACCACGAGCCTGGGGGGCTTTGCCCCCTCCTTGCTGCCTACACGGGAGGCTGGGGTGACCCCAAAGCAACAGAGCCAAGCACTGTCTGAAAGGGAGCACAGACAGCAGCACGGGAGAGTCGCAGCTGAATGCTATCTAAATGTCCGGTTCCCTCCCCACGAAAACTGGGAGAGACTCTGAGAACTGAATGGCTCCAGCCACCGCGTTTGCTTTCCTTTTTTTCCCCTTCATGGTTCATTTTCCCTCAGTCTGGGTCAGCAAGCCCGGGCCAATTAGCAGAGATGAATACACTGTCTGCAAATCGATAGCTGCCTCCTGCTGCGCTCTTGCCTTCTTTACGTTTGTGGAAATAGCAAGTTTTAAAAGCTAAGAGCAAACGCAGGATTAAAACATGAGCTCTCCCAGCGGAACGTAGCCAGCTCCACAGCAGCCACGAGCAATTCTGGGCCACCCTGGGTGTCCAATCAAAATAAACACGTGCTCCTCAGTTATTAAAAGCACAAGCTATTTGTGTCTTTAGGGGAAAAAAAATAAAGACCGAGCATTATCCTCAGAACCTCACCAGTGAGTCATTTAGAAAGACAACTAGATTGCCGGGGAGGGAATCAGCAGCTACCTGCACGGAAGGGAAAACCAGGGCTGACATTTGATAAATAAATTATTTGCCATATCTTTTGAATTGGCTGTGCTAATAGGCTTCACTTGCTTCAGGGTTGCTTTTATTTTCCCCATTCTTAAAGAGCTGCTGATGCAACTAATCCTCTGGGGACCAGGTTTCCAGAATTTTAACATCAATTTTACAATTTATCTTTAAACCCCCCCCAAGCAACTTCTGTTAACTTCAGGGAATAAATTCCTCTTTTCAGCAAACTCCAGAAGCTGGGCCCACGACACGACTCAATCCCTTTGCAGATTAAGAGTAAGCTTAAGTTCTGAAGCAAGCGCGTGGCTCGGCTGCCTGCCCCGCTGCAGGGCCGGGTGCTTCATCAGCTTCGGAGGCAGGAGCTGCGAATGCACAACGGGGGCTTTCACGGGTGCCAGGAGCGTGTCCCCGCTGTCGATAAAACAAGCCTGCCAACGCCGGGAGTGGCTTCTGTCCTCAGGACCCATCAGCCAAGTTTTTCAGCACCGAGAAACATAAAGCAGAGGCAGTAAACGATGGACGGCACCTGGCGCTCAGCACACGGGTAATCAGACCCTTCCTTTCGAGACAGCCCTGAAGTCTTGCCCACGCTCATACAGACCCTGCAGGCTGAAGCTGTTTCCTCCACATCCCCCCTCGGCTGACCATCCAAGGACATCCCTGCGAGGTGCCTGGAGGCTCTTTTGCTTAAGGTCCTATTAGGAAAACACTGATAATACAGGACTGCTATTCCTGCCCCTGCCCTGCGACACGGAGTAGACCCGAAGCCCTCTGCCAAGCCAAACTCTCTGTACCTGATTCGTTCTTCTCAATGATATCCACCAACTGGCCCACGCACAGGCTGATCTCGGAGCTCTCCTGCTTCTGGTAGTCCGCCACCACGACATACTGCTCCAGCACCAAGGGGTCGACCGAGGCAGAGTCAGCTCCTGCACAGGGGGGACAAGAACTGACCCATGTGCCAGGGTCAGCACCAGCTCCTGAGAGCGCGGGCCACCGCTCCCGAGCACCTGCTGGCCTGCGAGCAGCTCCAGGACACCCTGGGGACCCCAGCGTGAGAGACGTGAGCCAGAAACTTGGGCAGAGTGAGGAGGAGAGAGACCAAACCCGCAGCCAGGTGAGATGGGTACAGCCAGGTGGGACCTTTCACTTGCTACCCACCTTCCTGCTCACAGACAGAGCCGTCCAAGCAACCCCACCGCCACCACGGATGCGCACAGCAGCCCGGTCCCTGCTGCCGGAGGCCGAGGGGGGCTCGGGGCAGTCTCCTGTGCACTGGCATCAGCTGCCCCAACGCACGGACCAGCTCAGACCCCACCCAACACACACAACCTGCAGTGAGTTTTGCCGGTCCTGGCTAAAAAGCCTGGACAACCAGGCAGAGGGGCATTTGTAGGACAGAGCAGCATCCCCCTGCCATCGTTGCCTTTTTACATATTTCAGCTGCCTTCTCACAACTCGCCAGCACCGTTTGCTCTCTGCTATTTGCTCCACTAACTCTGCTCAGCTTCTCCTGCTGCTCCTCCTGCTGGAGATCCCAATTTCATGCCAGAAATTAAAAAAAACTCCCCAAGGAGGAGCCAACAGGCAGGATTCACGGGGAGCAATGCTTTTCTTTGGCCAGAAAGGGGCCTGGCAGCCAGAGGAGCACTGGGCGCTGCGGCGGTGGCCACGCAGAGCCCGGGCAGGCTGCAGCTGGCACTGTGGGCTGAGGCCAGGGGACACCCAGGAGCACCGCCAGCCCCCGCCTCGGCCAGGGACCAGCAGCAAGGCACAGCAGGGCAAGGCTGGCTTGTATCTTCCACGCACATCTTCACTTAGGAGAGTGCTCTGGATATGGATGCACCCCTTCGCTTGGCGTTGCTTGCTATGGTAGCGCTGCAACAGAGGTTTCCACTCGTGTCTGTCTCTGCTTTAGAAACACGGCCCCAAGGCTGTCCCCATACGCGGAGCAGAGCTACCCTTTTCCCACGGGGGCACAGAGGCTTGCTGTGTGCAGGGAGACCACGAGGCGACCCAGGGCCCCGCGGGCCCACGTGTGCAGACGCTGCGTGTGCTGGGTGCTGAGCCCAGCCCATTCAGCCCCACCGAGCAGGGCATTCGCTCGGGCTCAGCCTCCTGCCAAACCAGCCGTAAGGCGATGGGTTACCCAGAGCACCAGCAGCACTTGCCCCACCTGCCTCCAAAAGCCTCCCAGAAGCAAAAACGTGTCAGAAACGCTTGCCCACAACTCCCCTCCACCCCGAGCCCTGGCTCTGGCCTCCAACCCAACCCTTTGCCTTGTGGCTTCGCAACCTGTCAGATGAGGACACTTATATTACCCCGTTCTCCCCAGGTACGGTAAGAATTAATTAATATTTGCCAAGTGCTTTGGAAATAGGATAGTGTTAATTATTATATCACGAGTGAGACAGAAGAATCACACCGGATCATGGGTGTTAAGTGGAACTTACAGGGGCTGTGCACGTGTCTGAGCAGGGAGCCTCAAGTTTTGGGCCAGGGCAGAGATCACATCTGGCCCAGCCCTCTGGCTGCTACAGCACGGCAGCCACGCGGGACAGCTACCTCCCAGTCTCTAAAGGGTGTGAGAAAGAAACGACAGAGAGCCATGGTCCCTCGGGACACAAAGGCAAACTGCAGCAAAGATGAATTCAGGCTACATGTCAGCAAGAAGTTTCTACGGGCAAGGGCACCTACGCTGCAGCGGTCCCCCCTCTCGCGAGAGGTCTCAGCCCGACAAAAGCTCTTTCCTATGGGGGAACCCGTTGCAGGGCACAATCCTGCAATGAGCGGAACAAGAGAGATGAGTAGGGATGGACAAGGTCTAGCAGGGCTTCAGCAATGCTAGGATGCTCTGCTCCCCCAGAGAGAACTCCTCCTGCACCCAAGGTCACCACCTCTAAATGGGTTCTGAGAAAGACAGACCACAACAAAGATTTAAATGAACAATGTAACTTCGGGACAGTCTTATTTAAAGGAAAAGGAGGCAAACTGTCCGTGTTGTTCTGCTATAAACAGCACTCTGCAGACTCCAGGTGAGCTGGCCAAGTGCAGAGGATCTGTTACCGCTAATGAAAGCTTCCCCCATGCCAAAACCCAGAGGTGCGGCACCAGACAGAATTAAAAATAGCCCTCTAAAGTGAATGGTGGATGCTAGGACTATCTGTTCTACGAGCTCAATTAAAGGCTTGTGCTTAAAGTGATCAGAGGATCTACCCAGCCCCTGACAGAAGAATAACAGCTATAGGAAGAGAGCAGTACTCTCCTTTCTGCCTCCCTTGCTATCATTACACCCATTGCTCTGAGGCTATTTGTAGTTTCAGCAGGCAATTCGGTATGCTCCAATGTACCTATTACACCAGCAACAGAAGTGGTAAACCGAGCTTGGAGGAAGAAGTAGGAGTTAATTTCAGGAGCGTCTTCACCTGGCATAATCATCGTCAACCACAAAAATACACACTCAAGTTAACAAAACATCCTATTTATGGGCAGACTTAGTCTCTTAAAAATAGCAATGGTGTAAACCTTGCCATCTAAGACGAGAGACAGTACTAAAGCTCTGCAGCTGGGAGGGGAGGAAGCATTCCTACAGCCCAGAGCCCACAAGAGAGGGAGTTTTGCAGACAGCTTTAGGCAGGAGCACAGACTGTGTCCCCTGAACACCCCTCGCTTGTGAGACCGACACAAACGCGGCCTAGAGAAGGGACGTGCATTGAGTCAAGAGCCACTGAGGTCCTTGCACTGGAATTGCAGAACTGATGCTCGCCGTGGGCACAGGTATATGTTTTTGAAGCCTGCCCTTGCTGTACACTGTAGCTCCTGCCCTAAAGCACCCTCCAAATATGTCACGCTTTACCCAACTTTGGATGAAGTTTCTTCCTCCTTGTCCTTGGCCTGTGCTAATGTGCCCCAGGCGCTCAGGACAGCCCCTCCTCTCCCAGACCCGAAGAATTTGTGAAGATCGCTACTGCAAAAGCGACTTTCTTCCTGCTCTCACGTGAAATGGGCACTAGATATTGTGCAAGCCCTCTCATCTCTCCAGGGATTTTTCCAGAACTGGAAAATAATCACATGGAAATACCATTCACCAGTGGAAAGGGCCCGCTATGGCTGCTGTAGGGTACGACAGCTGTGTTTTTCACTGTCTCTCATTAGCCCAAATACCGTGGTTTGGGGTCTCTACGCCATTGCAGGCACATTACATAGCACAGCGAAAGGCGCGTGGCCACACGAGAAGGTATTTAAAATAAAACTGGCAGGGGGAGACTGGAGCTCTCTGCCAGCCTCCTTGGGCAGCTCCACCCAAATACAAGCTCTGGGGACCGTTTCAGGTTCCCCTGCACTAAGACAGTGCTGCCACGAACCCATGCCTCTCCATCTGTGCTTTCTGTTGAACTGCGAGAGGAGTGAATAGGAACGCTCAAAACAGTCTTGGGGACTGATCTGATGGCTACTTTTAGACATACCTGAATCAGTGGCCAAGTCAGTCTTCAGAGCCCGGGGAATAATCCACCCCTGCAAGCTGCAGGCTGTGTGGAGCCTGGGCCCGCGCCGAAGGCTCACAGACACGTGGGATTACAAATATGGGTAAAAAAAACTCAGCAGAGGAAGCAGATTTTATTTCCAATGCTCACTTACACTGGGCCCTCCTCGCCAACAGCAAATGCCACTTCAGTCTCTTGGTCACCGCGGGAGGCTGAGGGCAGGCAGCGCTTTAACGCACTTTACACCCCAGTGTTTGCTTAAATCCCATTTCAAAGCAGGGCTTGCTGTGCCGGGAGCTGGGGAGCTCTTTCCAGCGCTCTCCTGAAGAGCGGCTCACCCCCTCTCCGGCAACGCTGGGAGAAAGAAGCAATTGGGAAACAATTCTCGCTGGCTTTGTTTCTGAACAGCTATTGCTTGCCCCCTCCTCAGGGGGATCCCCTATTGAAAGAGCCTTTTTCGTGCCTTGCTGCATATTTGCTGCCTCAAAGCAGGCCTGGCTTGAGGAACCGATCACCAACCAGGGACTTGCACAAAGCAGAAGAGGATTCGGGGTGACAGCAGCAGAACCGAACTCTGTTTCTGCTGCCAGAAAATGCAAGACAGTCAGAGGAGTCTCTGAACACATCTGGCACAAGGCATTGGCCCTTTGCAACCTTACTGCACACAATCATCTTTCCCTGATGGCTGCTGCACATACGCCAGGCGCCACGGGCAAAACACCGCATTCAGCCCTGCTGGGGCAGCCTCTGGCTTGGACGTTACCCAAACTCTCCCTGTTCCCTCCCTCTCAACAGTGCCAAGCAAACAGCATCCCAAAGAGCATTTTCTCTTTGACCTCAGCAACACCCCTGTGTCACGTATAAACCCGCCACGGCAGCAGGACAGCAGAACGAAGCTGCCCATAAACCTGCAGTGGGAAGGCAGGACGAAGCTGTGCACACAAAGAGGAGAAAAGCTCCTGCTTCTCTAGCAGTCAGCATCCTTACACTGATTTCTGCCCTCAAAGAACTGAGTTATGAAGCTGAAATTTTCTTCCTCTTCTCCTCAACCCTAAAGAGGTCTTCTTTTCTCTTGCCTAACGTATGTGGACTGGGTTCAAAGTGATCTAAACACACACTGATCTCATGGGGAAACATAACACCTTTCCCTTATTCACCTGCTGAGCCAGCACACAAGGTAAGTTTTCAAGACGAGGGCGATGATTGTATCATTATTTTACCTCTGTTTTATCAACAGAGAGGAGAAGGAAAAAAATTGCAGCCTGTTGTTGTCCACACCCACAGCCAGAGACTTCTCTGTGCCTCCAAAGCTAGTTGCAGACCCACCACCTCAGCACAAGAAAGCTAGTACAAAAACTGCAGTCGGTGCTTGCAGATGGCTCACGAGAGCCATAAAATGACCACCCCGAGGTCCAGCTTTGACAGACACACCTTGCAGCAGTCAGAGTTTGAGGAGAAAATGTTGTCTGAAGGTTTTAACTATACTGGTAAAGCCGTGCTAGTCAACCAGGAGAGCACCCAGTTACGACCTGCCCACGAGAACAGAGCAAAACCAGGAGCCACTGTTCAAGCAGACAACATCTGAGCTTTTCATATGCATCCTACAACTCGTCTCAGGTAAGAGGCTGGGACACCATCAGTTCTTGAGGGAGGGATGTCCTGCAGATCCAGTAGAAAAGAAAGTGGAATTAAGTCTTTGAATCTCCCCTGTACCTTTTCTCTCTCCTCCGAGAGGAACCCACTCATCTACAAGTGAATTTGCTTACGCAGCTTATGGCAGTGCCAACTCTCGGGCCAAAAACTTTTCCACAACCTATTTCAGCAGAATCTCCATCCAGCCGAGACTCAGACCTTCCTTCCCAAAGACCCTCATGCTATTTTTATACCTTCTGTGGCTCCAGTAGCTGAAAGATGCCCTCCCTAATCCAGACTGAAGGCTCTTCCCCTCCTCTCTCCTTCTCCTCTTTCTGGGAAGCTCAGATAACTGCTAAAACACACCAACTAGGGGGTCTTTCAGAGACGTTCCCCTCTCTTGAGCAGCAGGGGTAGAGCATCCCAGATCCAGCTGTCCACCCAAGGGATCCCAGCTGGTGCAATCACAAAGCAGAACACACCACGGCATCGAGAGACTTTCAACCTCACGCTGACCACCACGCAGCTCAGACCCTCCTTCGGACTCGGCAGATTTTGCATCCCTGCCCTCCTGGCTGCAGACCAAGCCCTGCCCTTCACCCAAGACCTGCGACACAGCCCCTGCATGCGGAGCTGTACCGACAGCCAAGCGCCAGTCCCGAGCCCGCCGTACCTCCTCTCCGCTACTGCCCCGTGTCCACCAGCCACTACAGAAAGCTACAGGGGATGTGACAGCTTCTTGCAAGGGGCTTGCCCACCCAGGCCCAGCAGCTGATCCCCCGGCAAAAGGCAAAGCGAGAGCAAGGGCCAGGTAGCGAGCGGCTGTTACTACCTCTCTGCAGGAAAGAGGCCGTTCTCTGGATAAACCCTGATGGAGGAACAAAATGATGGGAGACAAGGCATGAGGTGGGGAGGGAAACGAACAGGGGGGTGGCAGCAACAGTGGCAACAACTCGATTAACGAGTGAACAGGGAGGCCAGCGCAGCGTGGAGAGCTGCGGGCAGCTGTCCCACCTTTGGGACCACCATGGGAGGCGCAGGGGACGTGAGACTGCGACTTGGAGGCTGCAGTGAAACCCTGGGTGGACGGAGGGGGCACGCCGTGTCGGGAAGCCCCACGCCCCATGGAGGAGCACAGCCAGGGGTTGGCCCGCTATGGGGCCGGACCCTCATCCCACTCCAGGAGACCACGGCTGTGGGTGAAAGGAGGAGTTGGTGGAACCGGCAGAGAGGAAAGGAGTCCTTACCAGACCTCTTCTTTCCAATGGGCTCCCTGAAAAAGAGAAGGAAGAGTGTCAGCAGAGGGATGGGCTAGTTGTTGCCAGACTAAAAACCCACATAGGAAAGCACAGCAGCGCTGGCCCCAGTGGGGCCACTGACCTCCCTCAACCAACTAACGTCCCCATGGGTGACAAGGGGCATTGCCCACCTTGCAAACAGCCCGTCTCTCCCCCACACCCCCATTTAGTAATTTAATGCTTTCGTCTTTCCTAGGGTGAGGCTCAGTGGCTGGCCTGGGCTCCTTGCTTGGACAGCCACAACTCCCACCGTGTCATTTGGTGAAGGCGGGTGGATTGGGATGATCTGGCAGCAGAGTCAGGAGCTGGGGAAGCCCAAACCCCCAGAACTGCTCCCAGCACAGACCACAGCTCCCACAGAAGCGGGCACCACTTTGAAGACAGACAAGGAGGGAAATACCAAAGTTCCTCCATGTCCTGCACCTCTTGCAGGGACACACATGGGGAGTAGTTGGGGAAGGGGCAAACATTTATACCCCAAAACAGAACAAGTCATTAAAGTGTTGTGGAGAGGATGAACACCAGGGCTGTGCAGCAGAAAAAGTGCCTCCAGGACAGAGCAAGCAGGAGATACTGGTGGTTATGAGGAGGCAATGAGGTAGCTTCAGCCCAAGTCCCCTTGCTGTGGCCAGCACTGGCCACACTGCTGATGAGATGGGTTAGAAACCACAGGTCCTGGGTCCCTTCTTTTAGCTGAATGTTGCCAAGAAACATGGTTGCTGAACGGCCTCAAAGCCAGGGCACAAGCACAACCCTCTTCAGGCACAATGAAATCTCGGGCATTTCATGATTAAAAAACAAACACCAAATCAAAGAAAATATGGGCCCAGAAAAGCCTCAAAAAATCATGGTTAACAAACCAAGACACCCAACCAGCCTGAAACCCAAACAAATGCACCAGCTCTGTCCCCAGCCCAACCACAGCGCTCCGTGTTACTACAAAAGGGCTCTCAACACTTTCGCATAATTCACCACTGTGGCCTTGAAATGCTGCTGTGGTGTGGGGCGATGGCAGGGCGATGGCAGGGCGATGGCAAAGATGGCAGGGGCAATGGCAACCACGTACGGCGCAGACCGCTCTCCCTGCTCCTCAGACTCACACGCGTGACGGATCAAGACCATCTGGCCAAGATGAAATATCCTGGCACCAGCAGACATGCATTGATCCGTATTACGTCCAGGAAGAGTAACAAGCAGAGCAGTCACTGGAGCTCCCAAGGAGGAAAACATTTACCTGGTGATAAGGGGACCCTCCTGAGGCTTCGAGCTGCCTGCCCACTGCTTGGAAAGGCGACTGGACCAGCCCAGAGGGACCCCAGGAGCCCCTTCACCTGCTTATCAAGGCCACTGGCAAAACAACCTTTTCCTCTCCCTCCCCTTTGTCTTCAGGCCAAGCAGAGAAATCCCTCCATGCTCAGCAAAAAAGCCAGCCAGAGCTGGGCTACACTTTGTTCTCTTTCGACCTTATCTGCGTTTTCAGACCATAATTACTGCAGACGTTTATTCCCCTAGAGCGATGGGGTGATGCTGGGACTTGGCTGCCTTCAAAGTCTGCCCGCCCGCCCTGGCAATGTGCTTTGCTCGCAACGCCTTATCCTCCCAGTCCCCCCTTCCCTTTGCACCTTAAACTTCTGGTACTCATCCATGAAGCTATCAATAAAATTAAATTAAATGCAACAAAGACAGACTAGAAAAAAATGGGATACGTTATCTAGAAACTGGAGACTATCTGTTAAGTTCAGAGACCACAGCACTGTGCAAAGACCTGAATACCACGTCCCAGGTGCAGAGACCAATGGAGGAATCTACTGGACAGAGCATCGCAAAGGCATTTCTCAACAGAGACCGCATTGCAGAGCTAAATCAGAGTTTATCAATAAGCCCCATTGAATTTACCCAGCTCAGCAGCACGGCAGGGAAGGGAGGCGAAGAGAGACCAGAGGAGCACGCTGGAGATCAGCAGGTGGGCATGGCACCCTCGTGCTGACAGGAGGGCGCTGATGGAAATAACTTGTTTTTCCCCTGCCATCTGCTAAACATATTACTGTAACTCATCCCCCTGCTTCCTTTCGCTGGCTGCTCCGTCTGAGTGAGGGGGCAAGGAAGGAGCTGCAATTTCACTTTGCTGCTGGGTTGTTCCTGGCATGGATACAAAGAGCTGCAGGTCTGAAGACCAGCAGCCCCAGCTCCCACCACCTCGGAGGGGACAAGAGCTCAGACGAGACAGGAAACAGCAATAAACGCCCGACAGCATCTCCTCCTCCTCCTCCATTCCCCACGGACCAGAGACAGGCATGCAGCAGAGCTTGCGTGCACGGCTTCCTGGAAACCGGTGGCTCCAGAAGAAGAGAAGAAGGAAAGGCCACTCTGCCTTCCACTGTGAAACTCATTTAGCTCTCACCCCCACAACAGCCAGGCTGTGCAGATGAACCAGGCAGTCGCAGCACAATGGAAAGGCACCGATACACAGCTACGACTGTGTGCCACCAACCAGCCCCACAAAGCTCCCCAGGTGCTAAAACCCAGGACCGGTTCTCCAGCTGCTTCCCAGGACTTCCCCAGCTCCGTGTCAGGAACACTGAAGGCGAGGGTTCCCGTGTGACCAGCGTCTCACTTAAAGCACTGAGCCAACAAGACAGTCTCAGGGTGCAGCGGGCTCAGCTCAGTGTCCTTCAAGAACCTAATAATCCCCCAGTGCGATCCTGAAAGGAAACTTCTACACATGGAGAACTCTTAGCACAAATTAATAACCCCCATGCCACTTTTTTTTAGGAAAAGAGAGTCAGGTTTCTCAAGCATCTTCTCTAGCATACCAGACAGCATCCCTCGGGATCCAGCGATGGGAAGGAGTGAGATGGGGAGCGCAAGGCTGCGGGGAGGGCGTGAGGCAAAGCTCACAGCTTGGGAGGTAGGCTCGGAACAAACAGAAGCTGGCTGTTCTTCAGCAATAGGTAGGGGAGCTGCTGAACTCCTTACTGCAAGATATTGCGGACACTGAAAGTCTTCATGGGCTTACGGGTAATAATTCAGGAAAGAAATGTTAATTAAAAACCATTAATTATAAAACCAGGAAAACCCTAAGGGCTGGGACAGTGCCTAGAGAAGAACTGTTACAAGCTTTCTTGACTTTAAACTCTTTCCTAAGGCACCATGCTTGGTGGCTGCTAAGCGAGGCAGACCAGGGGTCTGCCGGGGGTGGCTCTGAGGCGGCCAGGAGGAAGAGCCCACCTTGCAGTGGGACTTGCGGGAGGAAGGCGTCCGGACACATGGCTCCCGGACCCCAGCAGCACCCCTGCTGCCCCACAGCCCTGACCACAGCCCGCGCATGGACCTGGAGAGGGACAGTGCAGCACCAAGGCGAGGAAGACAACTCCCGCTGCTGCACAGCCAACCACACAGGAGCCACGATCCAAGTGCAAGATGAGATGGATCTGAGGCCACCACTCCAAGAAAACATCTCCCACAGAAAAAAATCTAGCTCTTGTAAGAAAAATCCTTCCATAATACAGTAATGCCATCAAAACATCTATCAGGAGGTAGCTCACTTTGTAAGTATTCAGCAAGGTTGGAGATGTTAGCAAAGTTTGTGCAGGCAAGAGAGACTGAGAACCGGGGTACAACAGGGCTCTTGTTTGGGAGACCTGATGTTTAGCAAATGCTCCACCGAGCGCTGAATGGAGCCCCTGTCCCCCCGGCTGCAGTGCTGGTGCTGCCCCTGCGTTTAACCACCGGAGAGCTGGCACGCTGAACCCTCGGGCTCAGAACGCTGCCCTGTTAGCACAGAAAATCGCGTGCTCTGTCCATGCAAGGGGCTTGCACTGGCACAAAGCGTATTTTTGCAGAGTGGATTCAGCCCCTCTGATATTTCTGTCTGCTGTCATCTGGTAAAGACAGTTCTCAGCAGAGAGCAAAGGAGATCACTATTTTGGAGCCAAGATCTAGCCCGAGCTCCTGGTGAATCTGCACGTAGGCACCAGCAGAACTGCAAAACAAACGGTTCATTATACAAGCTGTAATTTGTCCGGATAGCGGGACACAGCTCAAAAGCCACAAGCCAGCAAGCACCCTTATCCAAACCAACATCCGCCAACCCAGGGATCTCTAGTTTACCAGCAAAAGCTCCTGGAATGGCTTCCTAGGTGGGGCAGCCACTCCACCTTGGAGCAGGGACCTGAGCTGCCCCTTTTTCTATTAAATCCCCTGTCACCTGGGGGCACGGCCCAGCAGTTCATGCCCCTGTTATCCCCCAAACACCACACAAGGGTGACAAGGAGAACATTTGCTCCTGGCACAGCTCAATTATGAGGAAAGGTAAGCACACGAAAAGCCACGGGGAAGCAGGAAGAGAAGAGACTTGCTTCTGGAAGACACTGGCTACGAGTTTGCACTTCCAGTTCATGAAAACAAGGGAAAGGAACAGATTTGGTCCCTGCTGCAATGACAGAAACCTGTTTCTGCCCAGCACCTTCTTCCGGTGCTTTGGACCAAATGGAAATCTTTCACCCACTGATGGCTGCCAGCACCGTGGTCCTGAGCAGGACCTTTCAATTAGCCCATACGGGAGACAAGCTGGCACAGTCAGATCACATCAGGGCTGATTCTCATTTTAGCCCAGTTCTCCCTTCTCTGATTTATTGGGGCTGGAGCCTGCCTGGAGTCCCTGTCAGTCTGCGTGCGGGAAGCAATCCATTACTGCGACTGCTGGTGCCACCCCCACCTCACCGCACATCACCAGGGCTTCGGTATTAATAGAGTAACAACAGGCTGCTGAAGCTGCTGCAGGCATAAACTCGTTAGCAGCATACGTTTCCTCATCTGGTCAGGTCCCATTATCATGCACCTTCCCGCCCGGACAGCGCAGGCAGCCCGCAGCCATCGCGGCCCTTTGCTGATTCAGCAGCGCTGGGATTCAGCCCACACGCGGGACCTGGGTCCTGCTGGTCCCCTCCTCCCGCCGGCGATGCTTCCCCTGGCA